TTTTTGAATACATTTTTTTATAGTTTTCTAAGGGGTAACTCATCAAAGTAGAGCCTACGCCCAAAATTTTGTCCGTTTTGCTTTTGCTCTTACCGTTGAGGCGCTAGAGGTTATTTATAGAGGATATACAGAATAAGTAACAAATTAGTCAGTAATCCTGCTGCATAAAAACCTTCCTAAGCTACAAATAAATAAATCAGTACAGGTCTGAGAGTGATTCAAATTCGCACTGGCCTGTTCGCCCATCTCTACTCCAACACATATTCTACGCTGGCAAAAATACCCGCGCCTACTCGTACATACACCCGCTCAGTTCGCAATAATTCGCGAATAACCGCGAAATATGCGAAAACTACTCGCTCATACAAACTTACATCTAAGAGGCCCCTGCTCGTCGGCAGTCCAAAAAAATACACGCCAACTCACGCTCAGTTCACCACACTAACAACTAACGCCTCCCCATCGGAACTCTGGATACACATGTGTGTACAAGTATGCACGAGGAAGTGTGTGTGTACTTGACCAAGTACATACTATCTCCTGCATACTTGCCAAGTAAACAGGACCTCCTGCATCCTGCAAACATGTTACAGTCAAACCTCCGTAGATGCCCAGCAATCGGGACCGAGCTCTTGCAAATATGGAGGTTGTCAAAACGTTTGCCAGATGTTGGTTGACGAGAGCTCGGAGCTTCGCCCGGCCATAAAGTCTATTGTGTGCCGCCTTGCCCGAGAGGTGGGTCGCGCCTGCCCGATCGCTGCCTGGCCCAGCCCCGCCTGCCCGACGTCCGACACTGCGCACCCGCTGCTGGCCGGCCGGCCGGCGATGCCCGTCCGGCGCGGGCTGGGCCAGGTAGTGCTCGAGCCCCTGCTCCACCCGGAGTACGGCCTGTCAATCAAGCCGGCTTAGGGGAGAGTCGCGTAAACGTTTTCATTTTTCGGGGCAAGGGCCGGTCCTTAATATTCGCATCTACGGAGGTTGCATCTACGGAGGTTTAACTGTAGTACACATGGCCTCCTGCATTCAAGTACACACTTGTGTTTCCAGAGAAAACAAGTAGTGTGGGGAAGTGTCAGTAGCGATATTGAATTAATATCTACTGTCGGCTCGGCGCAGCGCACGCTCCTGCAAGTGTGGCAGGATGAGAGGCAGGTAGCTCCCCGCCTCCCACATAAAATATTAAAATCTTCTGAACTTTTCTAATCATAGGTGACGTTTTTTTCCATTTGTAGTGGGCATGGTCTAAAATGAAGGAGTTGAATGTGGTTTTTTGAAAGCTAAAGGAGACAAATTTCTATGGATTGTTAAAATGTTTTTGAAGAAATAAGTAAGTGAATAACAAAGCATGTAAAACATTTACAATTCACATCCGTCATGTAACGGTTTTGCCCCCCTGTAAATTCAGGACAAATCAATTACCTGCTGTTGAAAATCCCTTATATGTAAAAGGTCTCTGAGAAAACAGTAACATTCAAGAAATTGTAGTTTTGCCCCCTAAAAAGGGGGCATATCTATCCCGTGATGGTCATGCCCCCCACCCAGAGGGGGGTATAACCATCACGTCACGGATATGACCCCTGTGTATGGGGGGCAAATCCATCACGTGATAGTCATACCCCCCGGGATATGGGGGGGGGGCAAATCTATCACGTGATAGCATCGAATAGTCATACCCCCCTGGGGTAGGAGGGGGGCATCACGTGATGGTTATGCCCCCTCTCTAAAGGGGGGCATATCTTTCACGTGATAGTTGAGCCCCCTGAAGTGTGGACTGTTCGACAACAAATACTTATACAGCACTTTGCCACTGTGTCTCTACCTCTTTATCAAAGGTCGAATATGGGTCGGGCATTATTTCCAGGGCTCCGTACAACTTATCATAACACGAACGAATGTAAGTTATTCAACGTAACTAAAAACATGTCAAATTAAAAGTTAAAGTTATTTGTTTTGAAATATATCCGATACTAGTCGTACACACTGTGGGAAAAAGTTAGACAAGTCGAATAACTAACTTATTTCCAAAGGACTAAAGTAAGGGTTACAAGTTATAACTTTGACTCTTAAAATAACGTTAAAGGCAGGTAATAAGTTACGGACCCCTGTTTATTTCATCTGATATACTGAAAGAATTGGAGCAGTGCGTCAGGATCTCCGCAGCACTCGCAAATAGTTTTCTTAATTTACAAAATAAAATACGCCAAACATAGGTGATCTTGTTAGATTCCATATCCTTGTGACCTGACGCAACGCTTTATACACTTTCCGGAACGATTCTTGCATGGCAAAGTGTTTTAAAAATAGCAAATCTGTCTGTAGTGAGGAGCACTGAGCAGCGGTTTGAACGGCCAGTTTGCGCCGTCCGGGTGGTGACTTTCGGTGCTTGCGCATGGGCCCCGCCCTCAGCACTGCGTTGCGAGCCCCTGCTAGTATTGTGCCGTTGACATGTCGTAGACTCTCTCTTACGCCAGTTTCCAGCATTACCTCAGCTCAAGTAGTCCTACCCTTACTTGTGACACGAATATGTAGCTTGTTCTAATTTGCTGAGTGTAAATCAGAGTTGTGCGCAGTTTTTCACTTCGCGTGTTTCCTTAATCAAAGTATGCATGGTGCAGCGACTCTGGTGCACAGTTAAAACCTTACGAAGCAAAATGCCAAATTTTTTGCACTTCCGAAAGATGAGGCATTTTTCTTCGTAGGGTTTTAACAGTTTGGGCCGCTCTTAAAGCACATAACTTAAGCTGAGTTTTATATTACGTTTGGCGTGAATATCTGTAGAGTGAGGCAGTCCTCGCTTCCGGTGATCTCCAAGGGTCGACGGCTGAGTTGCAGGCAGCCGGGCGTTGGCATTTTAGCGTCCACCACGGACGGAAGAGGCTCGGGAACTGGCGGCTGCAAGAATCAAGGGGGAAAAGCTTTTTGTAGTTCTAGGAAATAATGTACGCATTTTTTTAAATTAACAAGCAGGCCCGCCCTTCCGCCAAACGAAGTTGCCAGCTTTGCTTCGCTGCGCCGGCAACTCCGTTCGGCA